AGTTTTACTATGGTATTGTTCATTTTTTATTTACAATTTTTTTCGGACGTTCCTTTTTTTGTTTTTGTTTTATTCGTTTTTACTAGAACAAGAATGTTATCTTTAACTACATTGTCGTTGTTGTGAACGATGACAAAGTGTTAAGGATAGTCTAAGCATAAGTGATTTGGAACGTCGGACTATTATAGAACGATCTAGGTACATTGTCGAAAACATTGGACCGGTTTTCTATCTATCTATCTATCTATTTATCTATCTATTTATCTATCTATCATTAGAGTTCTTCGTTTCGAATTCATTCCCACCTTCGCAGTCATTTTCTTTACGTATAATATTAAATTATGTGCAAAAATTCTTTTCCATGTGATTACATAATTTTCTTGGATGAATATACTTTTTTTTTGTATTTCGATTTTGTGTAACTAAACTGCATTATAGTGAATGTATTATTTAAAAAAAATTTTTAATATACCAAGTATTGTATGAATATTAAACAAAATATATCATATAATAGATCGTATAACTATGAAATAGATGTAAAAACATATGTCTTATTTTGGCAAACTAACAAAATATTTTGACTATTAGGTCGTTGAGTAATTGTTCGTTGCACATTGCAACAAAAAGTGTTTTTGTATAGGTCATTATTGCAGTGACAATGTGGTATAATGATTAATAACTAATTAGGAAATTACAAGAAACAAATATGAAATATAAAGAAATATATTTGTAAATTATTGTATTCTCCAATGTGTCAAGATATTTTAAATCTCAAGTCTCTTTATACCATTTCATTGATTTATAGGTTATGTTCTATGCGTTACATAATGGCCGAATGAGTAAAGAAGATGTCCCCGAGATATAAACCTGAACATAAAATTGTAAAGCTGTAGGTGAATTGTATTTAACTGTACTTAGAAATTTTATGCCTGTGTGAGGGTATATATATAAATTGGTCTTGTTAGAAGTGTGAGATCAATCGATGCTAAATTTGGCTTACATTCAAGAGTTCTTTAACCTTCCAAGGTAAGATTTGAAAGACAAGAATGAATAAATCAATGTATCCATTAATTAATAAATTTAGTTAGATATCAATTGCATAATATGTCAAGTTCCTATGGTGATTTTAAAAAACCACATTTATTTTTTTTTTCAAATATTTTACTAACTAATTTATTTTTTAAGATGGTAAGACTACTAGGAAATTGTTTATAATCTGAACACAATTAATCTAAAAATTATCTAAAAAGAGTAATTGGTTTTTAGAAATAATTAGAAGCATTTCTGATTCATCATAAACATAAAATATGTGACAATAAAATTCAATAATTTCTCGTCAAAGTTATTCGAAAAATTGGTACACGAAATTCTTATAATATTCTAATATTACGTCATAATATTGCAATATGAAGATAGTTACATATTTTAGAAGACTCGTAAAGACTTTGGTCGTTGTAGAAAATGAGAAAGTGTGAGTGAGTTTAAGTATAAACGACTCGTGACACACGAATCATTTGAAAAGCGAACTTGTCATCTGTGTATGGCACGGTATGACATGTGACTCGAGTTCCTCGTGGTCACTCACGTGCTATTCATAACTCAAACTCCAAGTATTTTCTTTTCCAAAGATTTAACAAACGTTCAAAGAAAACTTACTTTCTACATATTCATCAATCTATACACACATAGATATATATTTATGTATATATACTGTATACCTAATCAAATATTACATAATTAAAAAAATAAATGAAATGATTCGAACACACAATTTGGTTAGACAAATGTACCTCTCGTTTTTGTTTCGGGCGCCATATTGGTTTTCCTAGAATGCTTAAGGTATGCCATGAACTATACAAATAGCTAATTTCAAATATTATCATTTAGCTTAGAAGTTATTTTCTTCTCCGATTAGTTTTGATTAATAATAAGTAATATTAATAATTAGCAATGAAAATAGTTTTCTGTAGTTTTTTCTAAATCTACGTGTGTATGTACGACTTTGCAAAAAGAGGTTATGTTCGTGTGCATGGAAAAGAAGTTGGAAATAGAGAAAAAGAAAAAGAAAAAGAAAAAGAAAGAAAGAAAGAAATAAAAGAAGAAGGAAAGAGAATTGGTGACGCCCCGTATGTAACGTAACGTACTTAAAAGTTGTGCGTTATTACCGGCGGCATTGGTTAGAATTACGTAACACCCGAGAACGCGTCATTCGACGCCCGAGGAAGGTCTACGATCTGTAGCACGTGCAACCTGCAAGAACGACCACCACCGCGCTTTGACGTCGCGTGGATAGAATTCCCTATTTTTTTTCTTTTTTATCCTTTATATTCTTTCTATTTTGCCTCTTTTTCTTTTTCAATCATTTTTCTTTTTTTTTTTTTATTTTTCTCCTTTGTTATCCCTTTTCTCTCAAACTCTTTGAACCGATCGCAATTTCGCTGACTGAGCTACTAACTCCTTAAGAATCTTATTTCTACACCACATATACAGGGTGTCTGTCTAAATATAGAATATTTTATGTATATGTGATAGAGAGATAAATATATGTATGTGTGCGTGTGTAGAAATTAAATATATTATAAAAAATAAAGAATATAAATAGGAATAATATGCGGATTCCGGTTTGGAATAATAAAGGTTAGAATGTTTATAGAATTTCTTTCTATTTATGGGGTTTAATTCTATGCAGTATTTATTTGTTCTTGTTTTATTATTATATATTTGCGTAATTAAATAGATGTTTGGAAAAATTTTGATTGATATTAATAAACTATATATAAAAATAAAATAAATGATTTTTCTAGCTTCTGCTTAAATATTTGCTTCATAATTAAAATGAATGTTTTTAATGAATCTTCTGTTGGCTCACTCAACGTGTTCATTATCGGCTAAAATTAAATATCTCATTCTTGCATACTTCTTGAAGTATATTTTTATCATTTTCTGTAATACAATAAGTAAGGTAAGTAATATACATCAAGATATTCCTTATTTAATGACATTCTTTTCATTTATTCTTACATGTTTTTTATATATTTATAAATAACTTATTAAAGATTTATTTAGAATAAAACCAGACTCGAATTTAATTTTAACAGAAAACACCAACAAATCAAATACATGAATTATCCTTGGTATACAATATCAGCATAAAACTTCTTTTTATTGTTTTTCTTCCTTAATCACTATTAAATGAATGAAATAAATATAATATTACATAAAACATGGATTATGTTTTGCAAACCTCTTATGCACCTTAAAAAAATTCTCTTTTGTTTTTATTTTTCCTGAATCGAATATAAGTAATATTATGAAAATAATTTTTCTGAGATCTTTCTCAGTTAGATTCATTGTTCCAGGTCAGGTAGATATTTTCTCAAGTTAAAAGAGAGCAGAGGAAATAGGAAAAGAAGTGCAAACGAGAGAGGGTGCTACATGGATCGATGTGTGCTGTCGCGAGGTGGTTTCGCAGTCGAACATTTCTGACGATCCTAAGCGTGCCATTACTATACAACACGGACCCCATTAAGGATATGTTTATATTTACGCGCATAAACGTAAAATCCGACAGATAAACTAACTGATCGTGTGTATGTGTGTGTGTGTGTTCTCAAGGACGTAAATATATTTTTCTTTCCTACCTTTTTGCGTGAATGGGATTATTTTAAACAACAAAAAAACACCAACGTCGTAATCCTTTCTCACTGAATGCTTTTAAATACTTATTAAAAATGATAAAACCTATATAAAAGCTCGTTAGGTCTCAAAGAAATTGTTTTAACCTGTCCTAGTGACACTATTCTCTTTTTTTTTCTACCCCTTCTCTTTTCACATTCTAATTCTCTGCATGTATGCATAACATATATACATACAAGTATACAAAACAAAGTATGGGAAGATATTTAATCTTTCAACTTGCGTATCTTCTCCATAGTCTCAAAAATGAGAAAATGAAATGCGTATGAATGTATATATATGAAATACGTATAATAAACTTATAAACGAATTGTTAGTAACAAAAAAAAAAAAGAAAAAAAAAAGAAGTGTGGAAGTATGTAAAAAGAAAAGAAATATATAAAGTACATTAGAAATGTATCATTCTTGTTGTCACGAACTTTACCTTTCATTACGCGAACAACGTTTCTTTTCTACGGCAACTTTTCAAATAAAAAATTATTTGGGGGAGATGTCGAGTCTAAGAATAAGCCATTTCTCGACCATATAATATTATTTTAACGTTCGTTATCCAACACATGTATGAATGTAAATAATCGATAAACATGTAATCGTATTATCTCGTAATAGGAAAGTACAGATTGTTATTTCATTGTTTTAGATGGGGAATATGTGATCATCAGGGGTGATGGGGGGGGCGGGCGGGGAAGAATCAAGGGAAACATTTGACATTGACGAATGAGTAGGAGGTGAAAAATTTATCAGGAATATTTGATAGAAAGAAGGAGGATGTCTTCTTAATATTTATAATAATTAATACGAGACAAAAATTTTTAAAGAAAAAAAAAAAAAAAAAAGAAAAAAAAGGTAGAAATACAATAATATCAAAGAAAAAAAAGAATAAATGAAGATAAGAATGAAATAAATAAATTAAATGAACGGGGGATAGATAGATTTTCTAGAAAGGAAGTAAAGGTAGAGAAGAAGTATCGTAAAGGCGAGGCAATATCTGGTTGAGAGCGATCGATGGCCCGGTCGGACGTCGGGTAATTCGCGAAATATGGAGAAAGGTGAGCTTGTGAGTGAGCGAGTGTGCGCGCGCGCAAGCTCGTGCTTGCGTCTCTTCTTCTTCTACGAGGAAGGGTGTACGGAAGAAAATCTCGTGAACACGACGACGATGGTGACACACACACACACAAATATATATATATATACACACACACGCACGCACACACACGAGGTGGGTACTATTGAGTAAAAAGGGTTATGTCAGGCGAAATTATTGTCTAAGAAAACGATGAAGATAATATAAACTTGAGACTCACCACCAATACTTAGGGTTCTCCATCGGGTCTTCCGTTTGGAGCCCTTCTTGCCCATTTCTTATTAAGACCGTGATCACGGTCTTTTAAGCCTCCTATGTCCTTTCGTTTTTCTTCGATTTCTTTTTCTAATTCTGTCTTATATTTCTTTCAGTCTTCTTCCTCTCTCTCTCTCTCTCTCTCTCTCTCTATCTTTCTCTTTTTCTCTTTACATTAAAAATTGTATTTAAATAATCATCTTGGTGGACCGCCTGTGCACACCACTATCTTTTATTATTCGGTAACATCTCTTCTAAATGACTTATAATAAGCATCCAACCTTTTTTTACGCGTACCACAATCGCCTATCTTTTATTCTTATTTGAATTACTCGATATTATAAACGAGAGAAATGATTTTTAAGAGAAAAGAAGAAAGAAAGGAGGCAAAAAAAAAAAAAAACGTACGTTATCAAATCGTACTCCCGAGTGAGAAACAACGAGCCGTTACGCAGAACGATCTCTCATGACATAAACCGAACCGCTCGAACGGCGATCGCACACTGCGCTCCCCGCTTTGCCCCTTTTCACTAAATCCCCACCCTTTTCTATCGATGCTCTTTCACCTCTCTTCGTCTACCGTACCCCTTCTCTCTCACTCACTCACTCACTCGCTCGCTCGCTCGCTCGCTCACTCTTATATTCTTTCTGTCTCATTCTTGTTGTCACTCTGCCTATCTCAACATTCGCAAATATCCATATATACTATTTTTTTTTTCATTCTCGCATATATTTATCTAAGATTAATATTTAATTCTTTATCGAAATCGAAAGGACATTTAGTTAGACGTGTAACAACACAAGCAAATATATTTTATTTTATTTTATCCTCGTAAAAGATTCCATCAATATTATTTCCATTTCAAATTGTTCTAATTGTTGCATTCGTTAATGAGAATTACGTAATATCGTTTGACATATACGTTTTGTAGAATTATTCCACAAAGAAATAATGTATCAATTAGTTGATTAAATTGTCAAATGTTAAAGGGCCGGCACTGTGATGATCGGATAGAGACGGCACTGGACTTACGTTTTCAACAGTACCATCTATCGGTATTCTAACAAAACACTTTCTAATCGATTTGAATTTGAGAGATAATATATTGAATATTAACGATGATATTTTTTTCTTTATTCATTATTTTTGTTTCCTTCTTTTTTTTTTTTATTCATATGTGATGCATATTCATTTACATTAATTTGAATAATTCAAATATAACGTTGTTTTTTATCAGCCATGGGTTTGAGAATTTTAATTAATGTTCATTTCAAACACCAGATGGTGCAGAAAATCATACGGAAAAATTGATTAGGAGTTTATAAACGTATTAATTTTATTAACATCTTTACTGTGCCGAGATTATTCGCGTGATTTTTCTACCACGTCTATTCTCTAGAAAATTGAGAAATTTATAGATACGAATAATTATCTAACCGTGATAAGATGAAAATTTTACCCCACCATCACCGAAGTTATAACAGCGCAGGAACGTTAGAACAAACATACCTTTGTTGAAACAATAATATAATAGGTAAAAAATGCTAAAATCAGAACGTTTTAATCTTAAATTTGATTAATTAGGTGCATTATTCTCTTAAGACACATGCGCAACGTTCGGAAAGTCATATAAACAAAATTTAATAAAAGAATTTTCATGCATGACAAAGTGCCAGTGTGAAAGTTAATTTCGAAGGGGACGTTACAAAGATTATATTCTACGAGCTTTTAAACAACAATAGAAACTTGTATCGATTAATTAACAATTATTTTAATGCACTAATGCATTCTTCTTATATTACAGGAAAATTCTACCCTAAAAGTCATCGCTGCGCAAGAGCAGTTAAAAAATTACTTAAAAATGATAAAAATGCTGAAATCAGATCGTTGTAATTTTAAAATGTATTGATTAGATGAATTATTCCTTTTTTACACATGCGCAACGTTCGAAAAGTCATTTAATAAAAGTACGTACATAGAAAACAAAGGCTCATTTCAACCGCAGATTTCGAAGAGGACAGTGCATAGATCATACATTCCGAGCACTTAGACAAATAAAAATATTTCTATCGATTAATTAACAATTATTTAAATAATCTAATACACTCTTTTTATATTTCACATTGTTTAAACATATATGTACTAGTATAAGAATTACATACATATTAACATGTTTTAAATAATAAATGATTTCGATATGAAACTCTATTCGATGAAAATTTCCCCCTCCAAAGTCAGCACTGCACAGAAACGATAAATCAAATTGACATTTATTTAAACAATTACATGAAAATTAAAAAATATATAATTAGAACGTTATAATCTTAATTTCTATTTAATTCAATTAAGATTTTCGTTATACACACATGCGCAACTTTCAAAAAGCCATATAAACAACTGTCGATATAAAAAGCTTTTTTATGTGACAACATCTCAGTCTATCAGAAGATTTCGAAGAGGAAGGTACATCAGCAGGTACATCCTCAATTTTACGTTACAATATACATTTCCATTGATAATTTAACAATTATTTAAATAATCTAATACACTCTTCTTATATTTCACATTGTTTAAACATATATGTACTAGTATATAGGAATTACATACTTATTAACATTTGTTAAATATTAAATGATTTCGATATGATACTCTTTTCCATGAAAATTTCCCCCTCCAAAGTCAGCACTGCACAGAAACG